CAAATTCAGAATCACCTTTCAATTCAGCAATAATTGTTTCTCTAGAATCTAAAATTTTTGAAGTCAACACAGCGCATTTGAATTCATTGCCTTCATCGTCCAGTTTTATTCGAGATAGTGCGTCAGCAACATTGTTTTCCTTAAACGGTTTATATTTAATTATTAGGTTATACTCTTGAAGTTTTAAAGCCCATCTTATTAACCTGGGCGTTAAGGTTTTCCCCGAGTAAAGTCTACCAACAGCCGCATGATCCGAAAAGACTGTTACTGGCGCTTTGCCGAAATAAACTCGAAATTTGTGTACAGCCATTAATACGGCTAATGTTTCTCTCTCTGTAGCTGTATAATTCCTTTGCGCAGAGTTTAAAATTTTACTAAAAATGCCAAAGGATGGCCATTCTGCATGAGAACCGCACCATCGGCATAGTCCGACGCATCTGCTGCTATTTCCAGGTTTTAGTCCCCTTCCGGGAATTTCAAAACAGGAGCATTGATGAGTGCTTCTTTTAACCTTTCAAATGCAGTATTTGCTTCTGCTGTCCACGTAAACTTACTTTTCTTTCATTTAATTGCTAACAACAGTTCAACAATGTTCGCGAAATCTTTTATGAACGACCGATAATAAGAACATAAACCAAGGAAAGAAGAAAGTTTCTTGGCGGTATTGGGAGGTGAGAAATTCTTGATGGCTTTTATTTTTGAATCCTGAGTTTCTATACCCTTTTGCGAAATTTTATATCCCAGATATTTAAGTTCTTTAGTCGCGAACTTGAATTTCGATGTGTTAATTGTAAGACCGGCCTCTTTTAATAATTTAAAAACCTCTTCCAAGTCTTTAATGTGTTGTTCCAACGTACTACTCGTTATAATTATATCATCTAGATAAATTAAATTCGATTTTCCTAGGACAGGCTTTAGAACAATGTCCATAGCTCTCTGGAATGTTGACGGGGCCCCACACAACCCAAAGGGCATGCGTAAAAATGCATAAGTGCCCGATTTTGTGATAAACGCGTTTTTATGTCTATCTTCTGGTCTCAGAGCTATTTGATAGTAGCCCAGACGTTAAGTCCAACGTAGTCATGTATCTCGTAGACTTAATCTTTCTAATAATTTCTTCTATCACCGGCAAAGGGTAAACCGGGAACTTAGTAATACTATTTAGTTTTCTGTAATTGATAGCAAACCTCCAAGCCCTTTTATCCGAAAGAGGGAAATCGTTCTTTTTCCTACATAGTACGACTGGCCTCGCGTACTCACTATTTATGGGCGTTATTATCTGGTTCTGCAGCATTTCTTTAATGTGTTCCTCAATAATTTGTTCTTTCTGTTGATCATACCTATAGGGTTTAATCCTACAGGGTTTATCGGCAGTTAGTTGTATATCATGTGTTACAATTTGACAGTTACCAGGCCGTTCTGAAAACAAGTTTGAAAAAGTACTCACCACTTGCTGGATGGCTTGACTTGCATGGACACTCAAATGGCTCAAGTCTACCTGAGGTTCTTTCACTGACTCCACCACCCTCCGATCTATTTGGACCCTCGCTTTAACAGGCCCCTCTACTCGTTTAAAGCTTTCCTTTAAACTTCATTCAGACTTCTGGGTACGCGGACGGTTGTTTTCAAATTTCCTTTTTGGGCCTTGACCTTCGAGCTTCGATGAGTTGGCTTTATAGCTCTTTCCCCCATAAGAGCGATTTGTGTTTCCGGTCTGTTGATTTGAGGATTGCCTTCGGAGACTTTGAGAATACGATGCCCCTCTAGACTTTTCCGCTATTCTGCGGTTTTAGAACTTGACCTCCAACTCGAAGAGTTCCTGCAAGGTGCTTGGGTTTCGGTTTCTAAGTAATCTTGGACAGCAGGTAACAATCTTGGTAATAGTATTTCAATAATCTCCGCGTCGGGTTTCTTCCCATACAGCATGTTTGTCAGCTTAACTTTTCGCAGAATGAAGTCCGTCAAATCTTCTATATTACGTTGATAAAAACTATACAGTTCAGCTTCTAGCATTGCTCGGTCTTTCACTATGGGAAGGCACCATTCACCTTTAATAATTATTCACCTTTAATAATGATATTTTGAAATTTTCAAAGGTATATGCTTGGCCTCCGAATTCTCGTAATAAAAATTTCCCTATACTCTTCCACCATAGTGAGGCCTGTTCTCTTAGTGCAGACGTGGCAATGGCAACTTTTTGTCTTTCAGGCGCAGGGTATAGCTGGAAATGATTTTCGAGGCCTTCTAAGAATATCGCCACCGAATTTTTTCCGTCGAAATTGACGTTTGGCTTGATCGATGCTCTCATCCTTTGGATCAGGTATCCAAATCCTTCTAATTGGTTCGCCATGCTTGTTGTTGGAATTGTACAGGAGCTTCCATCCATTTTTCGGCCATTTCAGTTCGTAAAGTGTTCGGGCGCCAATATGATGTTGGGAGGCCCCAACTTTTCAGCAACAGTAGTAGTGACTGCTATGAACTGGAAATTACACAAACTCTTAAGAAGGGTTTAACTCCCTTTTTATTTCACTTTAGAAATCACAGTTGCGTTCACTTGACGCTCACAAACTACGCCGACCCGGCGGTTGAACAAAATAGGCAAAAATGCAACTAAAAATAAATGACAGGATGAATAAATAACGAAGTCACTACCTACGAGGCTCTATAATCGTAACTAACTTAACCGCGTTCTAAGATACAGCTGAGATTCAGCAAACTTTAAGATTAAGAATTTGAAAGATTCAACGAACTGTCGAAATAGGCACACAGGCCGAAACGCGCGGTTCTTAAACTTTCTACCAAGCAACCTTCACGCTCGTGATTCAAGAAGCACACTTACAATCACGTTTCCCTTCTATTTAAACTCAATTTACTTCTGCTAAAATTTGAATACTCTGCGCGTTCTACTAATTTACATACTCTGGCATTGGCAATTCTAGGGGAAAGTAAAGGCTTGACAGGAAAGATAGCTTAAACATAAAATAAATGTTAGTTAAAATAAATATAAACCCTACAAGGTAACACGCGAAAAGCATTTGAAAATAATAAAAAAAAAGTGTTCCTTTAAATATTACAAATGATAAGGCACCTGAGTTTGATACGCTTTCAATAAAATCTTAAATAAAAAAATTCAAAAAGGAGAAAAAATAAGTTTGAGCAAAGATAAATTATATTAGAACAAAGAGAGAGAATTTTTTCCCATTTTTAACTATCTACAGTAAACATAACCCATTAGGTTTGTTATTATAAAAATTCGAATTACATTTTTGTTGAATTTCACTCTTTTCGTGACAGCATGAAATTAAAAAAAAATTCCTGATGTTATAGTAAACTATCTCAAAATATCAGAGAAAAAACACATATATATGCACATATAGTGACTTGCAAAACCATTTATCTGTTAACTGCGGTTTTTTACAGCAAGAAATATATAACCGAAAGAAATCAAAACCGATATACTTAAAAATTTTAAATTCCTTTATTCATACTCCAAGTGATTACAACGAAAAACTTTTTCTATATAAATCAAGAATTTGTTTTAAATTCAAAAGATAAACAGGAAGAATTCACGGTTGAATTTGCTCATTCGTTTAAATTAGAAAAGTAGCACTCAAGTACTTCTTTATGTTTGTTTCTTGGTATAATATAAGTGAAAATAACTGAAATAATACCTTTAAATGATCTGATGGATTCCAGTGGTTCGATTTCATTATTTCAGAAGGAAATTACGCAATTACTGAACTGAACGATTATTTGGAAGCTTATTTCTAACAACTTGGAAGAAAAAGTAGAGAAATTCAGTTCGGTATCCTAAGAGCCAGACAACGATATACTGTCAAACTACTGAACAGATATAAAATAGATTTATCTGTAAATAAACTGCTTTTTAAAGAAAGCGAACAAGAAGGAGAAAATATCGGCGATGTAACAAACCAAATAATATCTACATCACTATGATACTGGCAAAGGAGCTTCAATCAATAATAAGATGTCGGATGCTGTCCTTTCGCCTTAAGGGCTCTCCATGAAAATTACAGATGAAAAGAATGAGCTATTAAACCTGAACCACCAAGAAGTTAAATGAAATTTAATATTTGAATCTGAAAATTAAGAAAGGGAATATTCAGAAAAAAATTATAATTTATTGTTATTAAAATATTTCCATCTGTATAAATGAAATATCATATAGAAATTATATAGATATAAAAAGAATAAAACAAAAACTCAAGAAAGAAGGTTTTTAAAGATTTTTAAACCGAGAATGACGCTGAAGCACTAGAAAAAACTAAATCTGTTGTTTAGGATAAATTGAGAGATACGCGCTGTGTAACGGGTAAATGTTTAAAGATTTATAAGCGATATATTATTTTTGAATAAATGGAAAAGATTTATGATCTGAGTAATACAAATTGTTTTTACAATCGAGGTATAAAGAGTCATAAATACAAAAAATTTAAAAACAACAAAATGTTGATCTGAAGGACGAAAACGCAGAAATAGAATTTTTGCTCAAGAGTTCATATGATTGTTTCATGTTTTCAGATGATTTTATCTATCAAAGACTTAAAACTGTAAAATCAGGTGTTTCTTCCATTAGGAATGACCGTGTAACATTTGACATTTGCTAATGGATTGGGATTGATTAACAACAAATTCTTAAAAATTGGAAGTTCGATTAACAAAAGACTCATATCGGTCATAAATGTTAAAGATCAGCAAGTTCTTGATAGAGTTGCTCTTGACTGAGTTTGTGAAAAGGAGGTAAAGACTACATTGCTGAGTTATTATGTATGCTATCTAGATGAGTTATTACGGGCACTATAGACAGCCAGATGGCTGAAACCTGCTAGTTATATTAATATGGGAAGTAATAAAGTTAATTTCAATTTAATTTAATTATTTACATATTTTTCCTTCAAGAACTAATATTTTCAAGTTAAATTATATTTCTATAGGCATTACAACCATGGTAAAGCTTTCTTGGAATAATTAAGCATATCTTGAAAAAGAAAAGAAAACAACATTTTATTTACTAAAATAAATACACTGGAACAGTTCTATCAACATTTTGCTAGCCATCATATTACTCAACTCATACGTTATTTAGATACATAAATTAACGCCCACAATATACTTTATGCCTCACACAATGCCTTCATAACAATCAATGAATAAAACATGCTTATAAAAAGAATAATACGAAGAACATTTAAAATAAAATAAACAAAAGGGAAGAAACAAATAAAGTAGAAACAGCAAAAAAGTATAAGCAGCAAAAAGAGCGATGGTTATCGAACACAGTATTTAAAATAGTAATTCGAAGAAACTTATGAATAAATAATTATGCTGGTTATGGTTACATGGTAGATAGACCTCGCTGGAGAGAGGAAGTAAGATGAATGAAGATGATGAATAAAATAGTGTACTGGCATTTTATCTGCTGTAGTACATATCCCTAATAGGTCTGCCCGCCCTTTCCTTCGGAGCTACGCAGTCACCTTCCAGTTGAAGAACTCGGCGATACCTTTTTATCCAATCCAGGTTTTGGTCACAAACTATTTTGTTATCTGTAAAGGAAAAAATAAAAACCATTTAATTATGTTATACCTATAAACGAAGAGTATAAACTTTCGTAAATAAATAAAAAAAAATATTAAGAGCGCTGAGCTGAATTAGGCCACTGGATATTAAATGCTTGCTGAATACTACAATATGGACACCTCTTTAGATATTATTTAATGTCAGAGCAGCATGTACATACTTAAATAAAGTAAATATTTTTTACATTTATAAAATAAAGATTCAAAAATAAATTTCTTTATTCTTCCTATTCAGATATTGCAGAAATATTTCAAACTTAATTCGGATATTTTGGTAATGAAGTCCACATTAGTAGTTGAAAGGTTAAAGTCTCGAAATACTAGTAGTTTGGTTGCGAAGTTAATATGGCAAATGGAATTTATTTCATGGTTTCATAAATACGATTAATTACAGTTGCGTACAAAATTTAAGAATAATATTTACGATAACTTGAGCTAATACCTGAAAAATAGTGTTTTCGAAATTATCATTAGATGTTTAAAAATTGATAATGGCTTAAAAGTAGATTATTTGTTTTTACTTCCTTGTACGAAGTAAAAAGGATGTATTGTCACAGCGAAAAATTTCGGGTATCATATTTCAATGAAAATATCCATTTTGACTGCTATCGAATGCAATTTAACCATGTTTTTGAGTGACATATGCATGTAAGAAAACAGAATAAAGGACACTTTTTCCCCCCAAAAAATTATAAAATGATTTAAAATAAATTCTGAAGAAAATTTTTTGTGGCGTCTGTATGTACGTATGTATGTATGTATATATAATTTTTTTGGCTTTATTTTTTTTTTTAAATTTTGGCTTTAAATTTGCTTTTTTACTTTTATACGTGTTTGTTAAAATTAAAATTTAATTTTTTTAAATGCACACACACACACACATATATATATATATCCACTCTGTTACTCGGCTCAATGATCTCAGTTTCTTTATTTTTACATGTTTATAAATTGTGCATTTTTTGTTTTAAAAAGGATTGAATTATGTTGTTCTTATCTTCCGGTTAAGGTTTTTATGCCTTTAGTAAATCTGTATGCAATATTTTTAGAATTATCATAAATTTAAAAGTTGTTTAAGTCCCGCTAAGCCTAATAATTTTTGCCATGTCGGCCATTGCTTGTTTATATTTGAAACAAGAGAATAGTACATTTGTTGCCAATCTAGAAAAAGTAAGCTTCGCAATAACAAAGATAACGTCTTCTTTTATTACTGCGAATTAAATCATGCTTAATCCATTCTGGAATTTCTTCTAGGAAATAAGTGTTTAAGATTTACTTCGTAATTTTTTATATAGATATTTTGAGTTTGTATGTATTTTTATCTTGTCATGAAGTGAGAACTAAATTAATTGAATGAGAAATACTGAACTGTCTGTGAAAACTGGTTCTTTTTTTGTTTGTTTGTTTAATTTCTTTTATATATCGTTTTAGATTTATTATAATACTTGAATAGAACATGTGGCAATGATTAGATAATTCTTCAGATGATATAAATTTTGTGCATTCCGAATTATAAAATGAATGAGATGTAACGTTGTTAAGTGACCTAGCGCCAGAGTGTCGCTATGGTAAAGAAATAAATTGAATTTTAAAGAGTGCATTTATTCTGTTATAGTTTATGCGCTATCGACGAAGTAGATTTAATTCAATCCAATAAGTTTAAATGAAATGCAAGGAAATATGCATATAATTTAATATTCCGTACAAGGAAGTCATATAGTGTACACATTAGATTTTTTAATTTTATAAGATATGTAGTGTTGTTCTCTAGCTTTTGCACATGTCATTATAACATATACTTTAAAATAAATGTGTCTGTTAGAATTTAGAGATCACAATAGAGAATATTATACGTCGGAGACACAAAAAAAGATTTTAGTTCATTTGCAGAAAGGAAAATTAAACATAGAAATCATACAGTTTGTGAAATAATGAAATTTTCTCAAGAGGCTTACTTCGTAATCACGCACGTAACTCTCCTAAGCTTGTGTACCTCGTAAAGTGTCATTAAAATTAATGGAATAAATTAATGAATAAATTAATAAATTAATAAAAATAAACAAATAAATAAAAGAAATTTAAGAAATTGTTTAAAAAAATCTGAAAGGTTTCAGATTCTAAATTACGTCCAAGGGGGCGTTTTTTTAAAACATTTTGTGTATTACCTTTATTTATTAAATATCATGCTCTTCGCACCTCAACCATAAAATTCAGTTCAAGAGCAATATCGCAAAATTATTTTAAATTGAAGATATTTTTTTGAATTTCCGATACATAGTCTCACGCGCTGGAGATATAAAAGTTTTTTCTGTACAACATTGCCATTGCTCGCTTTGAAATCCTTGAGTTTGTTAATTAAAAAGTCGTTAAAGTGTTACAAATTATGAAATCGATCAGAAAACTAATTCCAAATTTCAAATTTGAGCTTCCAAGTGCCCATATTCGCAGTAGGATTACGTCATCCAAAATTCGATGTCTCTACCTACTGTTTTTTATCACAATGCGGGAAACAACCATACATTTATGAAGATTGTTCATTTTTGAATTTCTTGAAATATAATACAGGGCGATACTATTTGGTGTCAACAGTTTGAAAAACAATAATCCCTCAGAGACAAAGCCCTATTGGACTAAATAATTAATTAATAAATAAATGAATGCATAAACTCGAATCAGCTCAGTTCTATAAAATTAATTTTGTGTTGCAGATACATTCTGTGTTTATTAGGGAAAACTTTAATTAAACTACGTTGAGCTGTTGTAAATAAGGGGAACAAATAAGCTTGCCTTGAGATTGTTTCCTAAATTATATATTGATTGTATGAATTGACTAAAACTACAGTAATTAAAGAGACTCTTTACACATTTTTAGAACAATTTCGATAAAGATATAAAATAAAGCAAATATTTTTGGAACGAACGTTTCTGGCAATAGTTTATTATTTGAAATGAGAAACATTGTCTTTTAAACATATTCCTGTAAAGCCTCTTGAAGTTTAACCTAAGGACTATTGTGGCTCTGGTCTCCTGAAAAGAGCTCTTTCTAAGCATAAAGCCATCAACATTGATGGATTCCAGAGATGAATCGAAGAGAAATGAATACCAATACCCCTGACAATTTTACGAACTTCTGTCATAGAAATTACAAGGCAGACTTATAGTTCAGAAAAAAGGCTCTCAGATTGAATATTTAAAAGATATTCTTCACACTTTAAACAGTAATTAAAACGCAGCGAACGCATTCTAAATATGTGCGAACACACTGTGTACAATTTGCGTAAAAAATAGAGATATGAATCGTAATAAAAGAAGAAATTGGCAGCAAACAAGGAGGAAAAGTAAAAAGCCGTACCATTTGGCGCAATCGCAAGTTGGCTTGATGCATAGAGCTGTGGGATAGATAAAACGAGCTTTTAGATATATTCCACGTCAGTTCACAAAACTATTTCACGTAGCCATGTCAGTGTGTTAGGTCTAATTTCAGTTCTTGTTCTAAAGTATTTGTATAGTGTGTCTATCTGGATTATTAACAAGGTGCGTCAACAACTAGTATTTTCTTACAGCCAATTTTTACCTTCTTGTCATTAGGGAATTATTATATTCCATAAGAATCTGAACACATTAGTAGCTGTTAGTTGTAAAATGTGTAGAACAATCTTGAGTCTTTTACTTGATTTGGTTTTACAGTGTGCAACGTAATCATTGGAAAATATAGTTCGATACATTTCCACATTCTTTTTTGAGTAACAGAAAATGACTTCAGATGTTAAAATGCTGCAGACTTGGGTGTTAGTACCAACGTTAAATTGAGATCTTTCTGCATCTGTAAAGTATCTTGGGACCATCTGTGAGTTGCGAAACTTCATTGTAGAAAGAAAGTAATTAAGATTGAATTTTTTAGCTGATTTCCTACAGTGTTTAACTTAGTTTATGCAACTGAACTCTCCTTCGCGGACAGCAAAGCATTTTTCCTTGGACGACTCCCCATAAGCCCCTTCAAAATCAAATTTCTGCGAATAATGTTACTGTTTAGATTCACCTTAGAAGATGCGTCCCAAGCAGTTTTTTAACTGAGTATGCCAATTTCCTCTTTCTTAGTATTAGACGAGCTATACTCCAGTCCTAGGCAAATGCAGGTTGTGTTTGGGGACAAAACCGCAGTCCGCTTTGGAAGTCCCAGTTTGAAGGAATTCTATCAAGAAATGATCTACACGGGATAAATTATTTTCGCTGCACCGATTAATTAGAAATTTTTTCAACATCCACTGCACAACGCTTTTCATATGCGGATTAAGTCACTAACACAACCATCGCTTGTCCCCTAGTACCGCTTCCGAATGGGCATGATTCACAGCGTTAACTAGTTTGTTTACCTTTGGTTACAGTTACTCTTATGACTTAGTAACGTGAAAAACAATTTTGATTTCTACTGATGCCACATCATTAGTTTACAGCGTAAATAAACCCACGTTTGTATTAGATAACAAGTAATTACAAAGAATCGGAATAATATGTTTTTTAACACCTTACAGTAATGGTGTAAAAGTAGATATTTGAAAAAAAAAAAGCTTTAAATAATCTTAGGAATGAAGTTAATCACTTTAAAAATGAATAATTTCTTGTAAAAATTACTTGAGAACTATCTACATGAAAAGGATGCTTATGTAAAAGGAAACTAATTAATATTTATTTGACTCGATAATATAGTATTCGTTCATTTATTGAAAATTTCCTACAAATTATTGAACTCAGATTTTCCATAGTTAGTTTTCGTGTTACGTCACAGTATTCTTTACTGATTACGCAAACCTATAAAGTTACAACCGTCACATTGTTTACAGATTAAAAGTAGCGAAATTAATTTTTAACAAAGAAATTTTAACATTTAAAAATGTTATCTATCGAATCATGAGCGATTACGCAATTTTTTTATCGATTAGTACTGAATTCTTTTAAGAATAATTTTA